TAGATTAAATTTTTAAAAAAAAAAAAAAAATGAAAATTTGAAATTACAATGTTAAAATTAGAAATGTTACCATGTCAGATTACAAATAAAATAACTAAAACTAAAAAATAAATTGAAGCTTAAGAAAAGAAAAGCAAAACAACAACAACAAAATTACTAAAAGTAATATTCAAATTAAATGTGAATATCCCAAAAAATCTATTTCAAAATATTATTAAATACTATAACAGTATATAAATAACATTAAAATAACACTGGTCATAATGCTTCATTATTACTGCCAGATGTTGCAGTTATGACATTGACCAGCAGAGGCAAACCGGACCAAGCTAATCAGCTAAACCTCAAAACCTTGTCATATTCCTAATATACAAAATAGCTGACCTGGGTGTTAGCAAGATGTTTGACGAGTGAACTGACTTCTGACTCATCCTCTGCTCTTTCTCGCTGACCTCATTAAGATCTGCAGATGCATGCTGCATTTACAGTGTTTGTCTGTCTGTGACGGAGGCGAATATATGAGAGTTGTGTGTTGGCGGCTCTCTGATGTGTCTGCTCGCTGCTGTAAAGTGCAGAAGTGCGATTTGTCACAGTTCTACCGTAGATATGTGTTCTGTTGTGACAAGGCATCAGAGAACGGAACATTTTTTTGTTTAACGTGACAAGGCTTTCGAAACTACAAACCCTGTTTGTAGGGGACATTTAATTAGTGATCGCATGCATTATTCATGATTTAATGGCTCATGGGCAGGATTTTATCCACACTGGAGAGCATTAGCAGTGAGTAAGCGGTCTTATTATTGAAAACTTTACAAGACTAATGACTGGTGCTGGGTTTTTATTTGCTTGGGAAAAAAAAAGAAATCGAGTGAGACAGAGATAAATGTAGACCAGCACGGATCCGAGTCTAACCGCTATCCACTACTCGCTGGCACAAGTTATTAGATGCTGCAGGTATTAAAGTAAAAGCATTAATTTTCTGCTAACATTATCATCTTAGACATAAAATACAGCTGAAGCCAAAGCCCTGTCATGCATATACTGTACACACATACCGTATAGCCTGGAATTCCATCTTTTCCCGGCCTTCCCTGTGGAGGAGACAACATTCCCATCAATCTTTGCAATTTAAATAACTTTGCATTGCTTATAATAGCCATATATAACTAGATGGTCCAATGTTCACAAATGTTTTGAGATGCTATTACAAATCTACTTTCATAATGTTCTTTTAGAAGTGAAAATGGAAGCAAGTTTTCACCTCAGAGTATCAGAGTGATCAGTGGTGTATAAAGTACCTGAAAGCCATACTCCGATATCTTACCAGAAAATGACTTTGGTAGAAGTTGAAGTCACCGTTTAGAATATTACTTGAGTAAAAGTCTTAAAGTATGTGATATTTATTGTACTTAAACGTACTTAAGTATTGAAAGTAAAAGTACAAGTAAATGCAAATTGGAAAAGAAGCAAATCAATATATATAAAAAAATGTTCATACACAGCTTGAGTAGCAAGATTGTGTTCAGCTTTAACTCTTTCTTCCATTTTGTATTTTCGGGTAAGAATAAGAAGCACTTCATCCGGTACTTAGTGTCTTTCATTCCAACATAAGAAATCATTTCTGGAATCTGCATCTGAAATAGCATTTAGATGTATTTACACTGTTTATGTATCTCAGAGCGGACATGGATGCATTTAAACTGCAGTTTCAGATGCATAAATAGGCCTAAAGTTTTGTTTTTAACATAAAACGTTGAATACTGATATTTGAAATCATTTAATTTTAACATGAAAAAAATAGGCGAAATGTGAAATTAAAACCGCCAGTAGGTGACAGCAAGTGACTGTTAATGAGTGAGTCACTGAGATTCAACCGATTCATTCAAACGACTGATTCATTCAGGAATAAAGCATTCGACTGTGTTAATGAGTGAATCACTGAATCATTTATTCAACCGATTCGTTCAAAAAGCTGATTCATTAAATAAGTAAACACCGTCCATTGCTCAGAGACGCAAAACAGTGGAACTGTTATTTGGAACTATTTTCGTTGGCAAAATTGAGCAAAAACAAGCAATATTATGTCTAAAATGTAAGTCACTTATTGCTTTACTGAACTTGTATAAAATGATTATTAAATGGGTTATCATGCTGATATCTGCAGAAAAACTATACTCTTTGTGTGATATAGATTAAGGTAACTATACATTAAATTATATAAACATAAAAAGCATACCAAAGCATTTTTGCCATCTACAATTTAGAATGCCTGGAATTTT